AAAATGGTGAGGGAGGCCATGCATTTATATACAACTTTTTCTAGGAGAGAGAAAGACTCAATGAGAAACAGAGTAAAGACATTGAGTCTTGAAGTGTCCATTCTTTAAAGACCTCATTTGAAATCAGAAGCAAAAGCAATTGAAGACTTCAAAGTTTTCAACGTTAAAAAAAACCCAATTCAATTGTTTAATCATGACCTATTAAAAAAAAATGCAATTCAGGGTCTTTAATGCATATATTTTGTTGAAACAGTGCCCTCTCTGTTTGAAAAAAGTGAACCATACTTTATAATTTGATTTTTGATCGAGTGGTGCACAAACACGATCGGAGGAAAGTGGTTCTGTTTGTATGAGCAGAGATGATGGCATTGGCATGGCAATAGATTTGACCCCGTGTATGACATTTGCTCAGTGATCATCTCATCTGTTTGATTAAGTAGTGGTCATGTTGTGACATATTTTCAGATAATAAAAAACGTCACTTTGTGAGGTACTATCCTGCCGCCAATTTACCTCTCCCCAAAGCGTAATTTGTGCTGGATATTTCTCCAAAATCTTGTGTCATGATTTCAAATTTGGGTGACAGACTGAGGGTTAATTTCTGATAATGATACTTAATTCCAAATATCCAAGTCTATAACCAGAAAATGTATACATTGCCAGCATTTAAAAATGGATTTCTGTTAATTTGCTTCATTGGGATGTTTGCGGATAATCTTCCCCGCAAAAGATGAAAAGGGTAATGACTTTTATGACCAAGAAATGATGATGGTGGTGAAGAATGAAGAGAGAGAAGATGGGGGAGGTGAAAACGGAAGCAGAATAGTGAGTGGATGGAAAAGATGACATTGCCTGTTGTTGCTGAGAAGAGGTTGCGTGTTGGAGGCAATTTTGTTAAAGTGTTTGATTGATTAAAGGGGAAGGGAAGGAGGGTGAGATGGGTTTGTGTAAAAAAAAATATTGTTGTGTTGGGTTTTGAGAGGGCAAGGGTTAGTCCCTAGGTGGATATGATTCCCTATCTTTGGTAGTGTAGCTATTTTTCTATCTTCAAACTTCACCCCCCATAGTTTATGGTGGATTTTTATTTCTCTGACCAAGGTCTCTTCTCTCTGATACCTTCTGCAAATCACCAAGGTCTCTTCAATGGTGGTATTTGTGACAATCACTCACTTCTTGACTTTGTCAAACCAGCTTCGTTCACTTGTGGGTTCTGTTCTGTTTACCCCATTTTGTCATTGGCACACAAATTTAACTAGCCCTTTACCAATTTCAAATTGTGGGTCTCCTTTCCTCTGTGTGATGAAAATGGTTCCTTCATGCTCATGTTTACTTGAAGTCTAGCACAAGAACTAGCCAAAAAGTTCATTCGACTAGGTTCCAAGTTCAAATTTGTAAATGAAGTTTTAATAATTATATGGTGATTTGTATTTGAAAATTTGATTTATGATTTTGTAATGCAAGGTTTAGTCTAAAAAGATAGATTTATTCCTACTCAAATTACGATCGTTTTATTATTTTATATACAATTGATATTAGAGAATGAAGAATTTAGTCTTGATTCTAAAAATAAATACTCTTAATCACTTGAGCTACAAGTGTCTTGTATCAAAATATAATTTTTGAATAAAATGTATCACAAAATGTTCTTTAGACTTTGGCGTTGACTAGTAGAATAAACTAAAGGCCCAAACATATTGCGGGCTTGCATAATAAGTTGTATTAGTCAGCCCGATAAAAATGGCCCATTTCTCAAGAGAAGGGAAAAGAAAAATGAACATCTACCATTTCGTTTTGGCCAATGAAACCATTTTTGAAGCTCTGAACTTTGAGCCCTTCTGTGAGTTCTGAATCCAGCACTTCAAGCTTTCTCTGCGAGATATACCATTCGGTACGCCGTTTTCAACCTCAATTCTTTATCGTTTTTGCGAAATTTAAATCTCGTTTTCTTTGTTACTTTGATAAATTAAGCAGCAAATTTTTAGTTTTTTGGTTGAACTTCAATCACATTTTTTATTTATTCTAGTCTTGTGTTTTCCTGGGAACCAAACAGAGATACATGAATGTAAAAGTTAAAGTTTTTTCTGTTCTATGTGCTTATTAAGAAGAACCCATATCATGATCATAGATAGAATATGGTGTAGGTTTGGAGCTTCAGAAGTTGCACACCAATTGTTTGATAGAGGTTGCGAATGAAAAACCAACAGAAACAAATACTGGGAAATTAATTATTAACTGTTCTCTAGAGATATGCCTATTAATTTGGTCTGATACATGCCACAGAGTGTGTTTGATCATTTATAGTGATCGGGGTTCAAATTCTTAAAGTGATTAATACTTTGTGTAGGTACCATAGAGTCATACAGAGTATATATTTCCTAACTGATATTTAACTTTTTTTTTGTCCCGAGCTCTGGTTTAATTGATAGAATCATATACCATTGTAAACTGAGGAATTCCATTGTATTGCTGCCTCATGTAGTGGCTTTGGTTTGTCTTTAAGGGTTTGGTTTTCATATATTCCTGCATCATGGCAGTTCTATATGTTGGTAAAAATGCATTATTGCTTCATTTTTCTTCTTCTTGTACCACTTGTCTAAGTCTAGATAATTCCACTGTGTTTCCTTGTGTTCGATTTTTCTAGCGTCCTGGATATTAAACTTTCCTGTTTATTTTTATGGTTGAACTTGTGACTTATTTGCAGACAGAAATGGGGATTCCTCCGGTCAGGGCACCACGTATTATAAAGTATCTAAAGCCTTATGTTCTGAAAATGCACTTTACAAACAAATACGTAACTGCGCAAGTAATCCACACACCAACCGCCACAGTAGCTTCTTCTGCAAGCTCCCAGGAAAAGGCCTTGAGAGAAAGCATGGAGATACGCCGGGATGTTGCTGCTGCTGGAAAGATAGGGAAGATATTGGGGGAGCGCCTGCTGCTCAAGAACATCCCTGCTGTATCCGTCCAGTTGAAGAGAGAACAGAAATATCATGGTAAGGTTAAAGCTGTCGTTGACAGTGTGGTGGAAGCAGGTGTCAAACTCCTCTGATTTCGACCGCGAGACGAAGATGAACAATTACTCGGGTATCAATTCAGTTGAAGTTTTTCTGTTGTGTTATGCTATTGTGATCACGAACACCATTGGAAATTCTGATTGTTGATGCAGTGGAGACTTCTTCTAGTAACCTGATTTTGGTTTTGATTTGAATGTTATTGTTCATGTGAATGCACTTTGTAAAATGTGGTCAAAAAATTGACTTATAATTGGAAATTCATGGAAGAAGGCCAGCCCAAAAGGGGAAACACAACCCATATGAAGCACAAGGCAGGCCCAGAGCCAATGACCCAAAACTTTGTAATTTTGTCCAAAACAAAAGCCCATTTCATTTCAGTTTGGATAAAGTTGGGGGCATTCTGGTAGTTTCGGTCCCTGGACCAATGACTTTTCGTTCACTCCCCCTGTCATCGCTGCCTTTAATCTCCCCATCTCCTGGGGTCCGCCTGTCACTTCGATCTTATCGCCAATTACGTGTTCCTCGATCAACTTGCCAAGTCACCCTCCTCGCTCTGGATCCGACGAACGTTCCAGATCAGTCTCGATCCAGCATACCTGTTCGACCTTTAACGCCCTCATGGTCGTTAAATAACCTCCCAAAATCCCCCCGCTCACTCCCTCTTAGTCCAATCCCACTGCAATCGTTAAGTTACGCCAGTTCTGCTATCATACGCTGCTGATCCAGTGTCTGCCAGCCAGCGCACGATATATAACATGGGCCTACTTGACCAGCTCTGGGACGACACCGTCGCCGGGCCCCGGCCCGATATCGGTCTTGGCAAGCTCCGCAAGCACAAAACCTTCAGTTTCCGATCCAGCTCGGCCAAGGGTGCGTCCATTTTCTGCTAATCCTAAGCCGCCGGCGCATGTTAGCTAACACATGCCATAAATATAAGGGCTCTAGGCTGACTTTGCAAATCTTATATTTAAATGAAACTGACAATAAAATCAGACCGGCCAAAATGAAGTCGAAGCATTAGAATGTTGAGATCATGCGGCTTATATTAATTTGCTTTGATTTTGTTTGAATTAGGATCGTCGGATGGAGGAAACGTGGGATCGTACGGTGAGGATTCGACGGAGGAGGCGACGAGAGTTACACGGAGTATTATGATAGTGAAACCCCCAGGATATGGGAGCGGTAACAGTGGATCGCCTCCGATTTCGCCAGCTGGGTCTACGCCTCCGGTATCTCCGTTTTCTGGTAAGCATCCGGAAAGTCAGATGTACCCCTGGCTCACTGTATACTACGGTGGGGCCAAGTCTCCACAAATGGTGGAGCCTGCCTTGATACTGGAATGTAGTGAGACAAGGGGCACGTTCGTAATTTAAAATAACCAAATTTCAATTTTCTAGTCAGATTTCTGTCTAGATACATATATGATATGAAGGAGTTGTATCTGTTTGGTTGTGAAATGACGTTTGTGTCCTTATTGATTCGTGATTTAACAAGAGTGATATGGAATCTTACCTAACGATGATATATTAAGTAGTTATTATTGTCACCCCAACTAATAATGAAATGAAATATAGGTGAAGAATAAATTAAAGCAGGTCAAGGGTCGAGTGTTTGTTGTTGATGATGTTTTGTTTTGAATGTTGATGAAAAGGAGGCAGCAGCATGGGGAGATTCAGAAGGAGGTCGGCATCGGATGCATACGAGAAGGCAAGCCAGGTTGGTGGAGGAGGAGCAAGGAGCAGCCCCCGTTCTCCTTTCGACGTGTGACCTTAGGACGACATGTAGTGATATAATTAAGCCCTTTCTTTGCTGAGTTTGGGTGTTGCTGGGTGGTGGTGTGCTGTTTGTTGTTTTCAAGCTATATATATATATGTATTGTATGTGCTATGTATATATATATGTAGAGAGAGAGAGAGAGAGAGAGAGAGAGAGAGAGAGAGAGGGAGGGAGAGAGAGTAGTTTTGTATGTAAGATGTGAGAAATGCGGATGGAGTTGCTAATCTAATCTGCTATATGTATCATGTATGTGTACATAGTGTTTGTTCTTTTGCAAGTTTGCTTTGGCATCTGAATGAATAAACAAAGTATTTATTTTTCTTGGCAGCATGGGTGTTGTATTATTACATAATGTGGTGCATAATTTGGTGCCTGAATAATTGCTCGTCTTAGTTTTTGTAGAGAGAAAATTGAAGCTCATGAATGATACATCATCATCCTTGTTGATGCCAAGCCATGCTGAATATTCATATTGGTTCTACCACTGATTCTTGAAACAAAATATAATTATATTTCAAGAATCCACTGATTCTATGAAAACTCTAGTTTCAGATTAAATCTTATTGTCTTTTTGAAAAATGAATACATTACTAAATATCTCAATATTTAATAGTGACAGGTCCTTAGATGAAGTTTTATCTCTTAATATGTGGGCTTTTTCATTTCGGCAGTTACGGATGGGTCTGGGCTGCTGTTAAGAGCCAAATATGTGAAATTCCCCCTTGTGTCTAAGTTCAAGGATCAGACCTCAAAAGTGTTTCGAAAGGGTAGCTAAACCTTAAGAAACACCTTGGTCTCCTTCACCAATAAAACCAACAGTTGCTTACAGATTAATATATAGCTTGACTTGAGAAGCTTGTGGCATGAAAGCTAAGCATTCATGAGTTTAGCATTAAAAAGAGAGAGAGGGCTGCGATTTCCTATGAGAAACAAGGTTTTAAAGTAAGGGGAGAAGGGATTTCAAGAGAATTTGTTAAGGGGAGAGAAAGGAAGAGATGAGGGAGGAGAAGTGGGTGGTTTGAGCAATTTTCCGGCAGCTTGATGAAAGCTCCATCAGGCTCTGAAATAGCTTGCCAAGGGAAGAGATGGAGGAATATGGCTTGAAATTGGAGGGTTCCGGGGATGAGAGGTGATGCTTGCTCTATCTGGATGTGGGTTGTGATAATGGGTAGAGGATACCCCCATTTTATAGCCGCTGGAAGCTCCTCTTTCCCAAGAAACCCTAGATGGTTCCTCCCCAATCTGCCAAGTCTCCCCCTCCCTTTCTCTTCTCTTCCTTTGATTCATCCTTATTTTGTGAAATCCTCCTTAGTCCAAACACACAAAAACAAGATTTTTGGAGGCTCTAGAGCCTTCCCGCAGCCGTTCTAGTGGCAATCTCCTATCTTTGGTTACCATCTCTCCTTATTTCCTCCCCTATTCATGGCAAGAGCTGGTATGAGAAAGAAATGGGTAATGGCGTTGGTTTGAAGGGTGCTTCTCTCCTAGAAACCTGCGTACGCTAATATCCTTTGGTTTTTTCGGGTGGTCTACCTTGGGTTTGTTTCTTGGCCATGTGTTGGAGACTCCTAGCAGCCTGCATACATGAGTAACCCTTGGCTTTTGTCGTGGTTTGGTCTTCAGCCATGTTCTGGAGACTTTCAGATATTTTGTTGGTTATTTGGGCTTTTCTCTAAGGTAATGAGCTAGTTTACTAAAAAGATGAGCCAACCTTCTAGAGTGATGAACTATTTTTAACTAAGGTGATTGGCCAATTTTCTAAGGTAATAGGTTACATTTTTCTCTCTTTCATGCTTACCCACATATTTGGGCTCAAGAAATAGGCTCGAGTTTTGGAGCTCCCAAGCAGCCCAAAACTTCAACTTCTTAGCCCATAAATGGGCCTCGTGAATTCTTGTAACAGTTCATACCACAATCCACTCAGCAAGCCACGAGCATTTGCGTGACTTGGGCCCACTTAAACTTGTAGCATAGCTAAGTGTAAAATAAAGGGTTTTCTGCTTGGCATGACATGTTGATTGGCGTGCTCGTGCTTAAATTTCATCGTATTGTAAAGGGTTATGGTTGAGTCAAAACGGCGCTTGCCGGGATAATTAGCATGGGTTCATAGAGCGGGTGCATTTTATAGGCTTGCTACAACTCTTAGCATGACAGGTTATATATTGTTTGGCATGGCACGTGGATCGTGACTCGTGCAAGCGTGTATGACGAACTTTTGCATGCCCAAATCGAGTTTCTTCTCGGTAAGGTATAGCATTGGCCCGGGAATATATTTGGGCCTATCCTTGAATTTTTTGGGCTTCAACACGATCCAACAGTTATGAGATAGAAACTCATCTAAGGGCCTTAAATAATGCCCTCATTACAAAATGACTCCCCAAAAGTAAAGCCTGATTAAGATGGGCCTGACTTCTGTTCAGATTTTTTGTGCAACATGGACCCAACTCTCCCTTTGGGCCCAATTTGTTCAACACCACGGACCTTTCACAATCGGTTTATCGGGTACCCACAGCCACCGTTCTCTTCTCTGCGAGTCGGTTTTTCTTTGCCTCAGCTTCGTCAAGATGGAACAGAACAGAGTCTTCCATTCTCTGATTCCGAGTCTTTCAGCAGCTCAATAATGCAAACCACCACCACGGATTGACGAAAAATGGGTCATGCGTCTCTAATTTTGCTGCTGCTTATCAATTCACTGGTCCCTTTCTCCTCCGGTAAATATAAATTTCACTTTCTTTTTTGGGTTTTTCAGTCTCCTATCAGATTTGCAGTTTGCTCACTCATAATTGTTGATTTTTTTGATGATAGCGAACTTCTTTGCTTAAATTATGCACAGAACATTTTTATTCATACTAGTCCAGCTTTAGATGAAAATGAACGACATCATGAATTTCTGATTGTCGTATCAATCTAGAAAGGTCCCTTCTTTTGCATTAATTGGGGATATTTTAGTCTAGCGCATGCAAACATCACTATATTACTGCTTGGGGAGCAGTCTTTTTGTATCGATGGCTTTAACATGGACACCTGTGGCTAAACTTGACAACTGCAACATCAAATAGTTTCAGTTTTTCTCACACTTGCTTAGTGTCACTGTCAAAGCATATAACTTTTCATATGAAAGGTCATTCTGGCATGGCCAATGCTTCTGACACAGCTTGTGGGAAGCTGAGATATGCTAGAATCAGTTTAAAGCTAGGCCTCTATGCAAATTATCTTTGGGTTTCACAAGTCTTGAAGGGGCATGCTAGTGTTTGAAACTTACACAAGGTGATCTTTGGTCTGCCTTCACTGCCTTATCACATCTTACAGGTGTATGCTCAAATTGCTCATTTAAAAAAAATGTAATGCTGGCCTAAAAATTAGACTAATTTGTTACTTTTCCTTCAAGTTTTTCTTTTTCATTAATACTTATATGGAGCTATTTATTAAGTTTTATCTAAATCTGTTTTAATGCAGGTAAACCTGACAAAGTATGCACTTCCCAAGGTGGTCGTTTCCCACCATTCTCTTCTGAGGGAAAGCCTCCAAGACGGGTGAACAAGGGACCCAAAGATCTGACCCTTTGCAGGGTGTTCCGCAAAAAAACTTGCTGTGATGTATCCCAGACACATCCTGCACTGGTATCCGTTAGGAAGTTGGCTTCAACAGGAGAAGCTAACCCAGAGTGCTTGCAATTATGGGAATTACTGGAATGTTCCATCTGCGATCCCCGCATTGGTGTGCAGCCGGGACCTCCAGTTATATGTGCCTCTTTCTGTGACAGGGTCTTTAAGGCTTGTGCCGAGGCTTACTACTCTACGGATGCAATAACACAGGTATGCGGGTGACTATTAAACTTAGCCAAATCCATTATAATCTGTTGTAATGAAGGAATAGGTGATTACAATTATCTCCTTCTCTGCGTTAGGGAATTATTTTTTCTGATCAAGTATTTTCGTTCCTCATTGTCTCCCCATGCAACTCATCTTGTTTTAAAGCTTGATAAAGGATTTCATTGGCTTTAGGATGACATCAAATGTCTCCTACATGAAATGTCTTCTTGTCCCCTACAAATGATGTATTGCTAGCTTTTGGCTATTGTTAGGGGAGAAAGTAAGCAAGATTTTGGTAATATTGAATTAAACTATTTGTTTATAAACAATGCGACTGAAATTGTATACGAAATATTTTGAATCAGTATTTGAATTGGTGAGGCGGAGCTATTCCCATGGCTCTAATCCGCGTGCTGCCTGGAATTACACTGATAGGATAAAAATGAAGTCATTTGGAAAAAGTGCCCTCAAGAAATCAGTTTAAAAGCTGATCGGATGAGACTTGATAAACACAGGCTAAACACAGGCTCGATACGGATTTGCTGAAGAACAGCCACTTGAGAGTTGAGAATTCACCATCTTACATTACACACGAAAAATACCTTTTAACTGTATAACAAAATGGTTATGACCATCTTACCATGAATTCGATTAAAGGATGAACTGTTTGTTAAAGATGATCACTCCACATACAAGGACAAAACAAGTAAATAAAGATGGGGTATACATATGACTCATTAAGACAGGAAAATCCACACCACATTGATGAAACCATAATATAAATGCTTCATTTCTTCTTGATGTTATCACAGTTAGTCTTCAATATCCTCAATCTAGATGTTCCATCTGCAAAACAAGGTGAAAGATTGAAGAACGCCCACAAAACATTGTAGGAAGGACACCCAAAAGTTATAAGAAATGCTTTGGCATGACAATGCATCAGCGAAGCAGCAAACTTTATCAGAGCATTTTGTGCTAATAAACAAGATAGTTGGTGATGGCTATAGACAAAGTAAACATTTTACAATGACATACCTTCCAAAGACCATCATTAAGATAATGCATGTTGTCAACTCCAATTCCCTTGTTGATATCTCTTCTGCAAGCCAAGCAGAGGACTCAACTTCTTAATTAACGAAATCAGCAACTAATAACTAAACTGTTTATGATACAATTATAACTTCACCATAGTACTAACTTCTACCACCCAAGTTTACGAAGAACAAGGGAAGGAACTTATAAAAGCTCCCAACAGACAGGGCATGGAATACAATATAAGCACCAATAAACTTTCCCCTAAGGTTTGCATCTGTGCTATATTGACCATTCATCGCACTGAAGCCAACAATGAAACATTTATGAATTTCTTTAATTTTTTTAATTTGCAAGCTTTATGTTTTGAGGTCAGTGAAAAGTTAGGCTCTACGTAGCATATAGCTTGTCCTCAATACTCCAAGGGTACCCCAGGCACTAAGCTATGAGAAGCAACTATATTTCTTCAACTAAAAAAACTTACATTTCTTTTGCTGACATTTTTGTGAAGCCAATGGCAAGAGCATGTTGCTTTCCTTCTGCCATTATTGCCTGAGAGTATTCAGTTTCACAGATAAGGCAATTATTTAAATCAACTCAACATAATATCTCAACAAATTTTTTTGTTCTAACATGAGTTTGCCATTACACTAGTCATTAGAAAAAGGAAATAAAACTTATACCACAGGAGTCTCTGCAGCCACTGTGTCATCCAAAGCACCGCCGGGAGAAGTCAGACCTGGACACATTATGTTTGCACCAGCGAGAACAAACTTTATGGCACCCCTATCTACTTGCAACTTTTTCATTATATCTGGATCTGTAAAACCCAAAAAGGAGCCCTTAGTGTTCTTGGATACAACTTTTTGGAAGGAAAAGTTCACTAACAAGATAGCTTTATTTATAAGAACAAAAAGGCAATCCACTGACAAGAAGAAAAAACAAAACAATGGTTGCAAAGAGATTCATAGATCAGAATTGAAAACAAACGCACAAAGATAGCTGTAACTATAAGGCCCCCTTCCTCCCCCTCTTTCAATTTTTTCCCTAAATTCATATACGAAGACTTGTGGTAAGTTTTGAAATCATTCTCTCCTTTTTAATAAGGTACCAGGAACATAGTTAAATAGGATCGTCCAAGCATGAGAATCACTTAACCTGCAGGTCTTGCCTGAAGCTCACTTTTGTAGAGTAGCTGTATGATGGTTCCACCTGCCTGGACTGTCAACCCCCACCCAAAATCCAAGGATTAAAATATCAACAGAGTTGTCCTTGGCTTTCCACTAGAGTAGGACTCATCTCAAATTCAAACTCCCCCAAGAATAGCAAGAAGTCCACAAAATAGCTGGTTTTCCATTGTGATTTCATTCACCATTACATTACATTCTCATTAATGTTTCATTCAATCGTAAAATAGAAAATAGTAAAATTTACTAGAAGTTGCTTTCCATTCATTCACTCCCAACACACCAGAATTTCATTAGAACAATACAAAAAGGAAGCATTAACTTCACAGTACAGAGCCATGACCATCAACAAATAAAGTGATAGACAAATAATTCTTGTAGAAAATATAATAACGAGAAATGAGTAAATGGTGGTTAATTATTTCTTACATTGATGAAGGAGCCTTAGGGTAGGCATATATGGTCCATCACGAATGTTGAAAAATAGTGGCACGTTGTTTACCACAACTAAATTTAGATGGTTCTGACTGCAAAAAGTGGAGGAGGTGGGGGACAATGTAAAATATACAGGATTACACATCATGAAACGAATACCTGAGTTAGAAGTATAACCACAGAAGCAGGAGCAACAGAGCAACAAACCATTTAGCCACAATTAGAGGAGATTTCTTTGGTAGCAAATCTTCCAATGCTTGTTCGAGTCCAGGGTACTGCAATTGAATTTAATTTTGTGTTAAAGACATACGTAAAGCGTATTTAAAAGCATAAGCTAAATCCCTATAAATCTCTTACCTCATCGGCAATACTTTGGCGAATTTTGCGCTGGACAGTAGAGTAGCTGTATGATGGTTCCACCTGCCTGGACTGTCAACCCCCACCCAAAATCCAAGGATTAAAATATCAACAGAGTTGTCCTTGGCTTTCCACTAGAGTAGGACTCATCTCAAATTCAAACTCCCCCAAGAATAGCAAGAAGTCCACAAAATAGCTGGTTTTCCATTGTGATTTCATTCACCATTACATTACATTCTCATTAATGTTTCATTCAATCGTAAAATAGAAAATAGTAAAATTTACTAGAAGTTGCTTTCCATTCATTCACTCCCAACACACCAGAATTTCATTAGAACCATACAAGAAGGAAGCACTAACTTCACAGTACAGAGCCATGACCATCAACAAATAAAGTGATAGACAAATAATTCTTGTAGAAAATATAATAACGAGAAACGACATATTGGTGGTTAAGAAATTCTTACATTGATGAAGGAGCCTTAGGGTAGGCATATATGGTCCATCACGAATGTTGAAAAATAGTGGCACATTGTTTAGCACAACTAAATTTAGATGGTTCTGACTGCAAAACGTGGAGGAGGTAGGGGACAATGTTAAATATACAGGATTACACATCAAGAAATGAATACCTGAGTTAGAAGTAAAACCACAGAAGCAGGAGCAACAGAGCAACAAACCATTTAGCCACAATTAGAGGAGATTTCTTTGGTAGCAAATCTTCCAATGCTTGTTCGAGTCCAGGGTACTGCAATTGAATTTAATTTTGTGTTAAGGACATACGTAAAGCGTATTTAAAAGCATAAGCTAAATCCCTATAAATCTCTTACCTCATCGGCAATACTTTGGCGAATTTTGCGCTGGACAGATGCCTTAACTTGGTTTTGTGCAGACACCTCTTCAGAGGAAAATCTACAACATAGCACATATCATGGGTAATGGAGAAATGTTTTTGCTGATGTATATATGCAATCATATTACAAAATATTTCCCTTAACATTGAAGACTTTGCAATTACAAACAACTAGCACAAAGAAGACAAATTAATGAGAACCCTGACCATCCTCTCCAAATAATTAACCTCAAAATAAGTGACCTTCCAAGATTCACTATATAACAATATCTCATATACAGCCAAAAAAAATCAACTTTGATGAGAAAGCTGAAGCTTTAGAAACCATATACAACCATTTCACGGTTGCTTAAAGCACAGAGGAGTAACGGCATCATTCAAACGCATACTCGCATCAAACCAAAATACAATGAAATTCAAGGCATAAATCGAAAACCAAAACCCACAAAAAAACATTATCAACAATACCAAATAAAAACAATCTGATTGTATTTTCATCGAACTAAACCAAACCCACGAATCATATGTCTCAAATATCAACAAAGTAAACAAACAAAAGACATATACTTGGAAATACACACCCACATACACAATAATATCGACGAAAACATTTATATGCGTGTGCGCGCTCGTGTACAAAGCTTACTTTTTGAACATTCTGGAAAAATGGAGGCAAGAGAGAATCTAAGATCTTCAAGAGCAAGCACAGAAAACCCTTTAAACTGGTGTTAAGGTCGAACGATACTGAAACTGGTATGGGATCAGTTAAGCTCAGCTGCGCACTATAGCCCGCGTCGATGTTAACCGTGTTTGAGCCACTCTTTCGGCCTTTTCATGGTGGGCTGGCCTGGAAGGAACAATATGGTCTGGGTAAGGCTAAAAATAATGGGCCATAGTGCACAAGTTTGTCTAATTACCGTTTTGGTCACTTAATTTTACACGAAATTTCAATTTGGTATCTAAAAAACAAATTTAGCCAAATTTATCATTATATTACTCTGAGCTTACAATTTAAAGACTTACCGTTAGTTAAAGCCATAAAAATGTTACCCTCTTAGTGACTAATTTGGCTAAACTTTTTTCTTAGTGGTCAAATTGAAAGTTCATGTAAAACTCAGTGACTAAAAAAGTATTTATTCCTTTAATATATAAATTGTCAAAATAAGCACATATGCATATTTACTGACAACGCTTAAAATGTATTGAAAACATTGCTATATATCAAAAGACCAAAACTTAAACAATAATAAGACAGCAATGAAGTTTTCAAAGGAGATAAGAGACCAAAACTTTAACATTCCTCTTCCCTTCATCTGCACTGCACCCCTTTTTATTCTTCCTCTTCCACTTACTTGCAACACGTACTCCTACAAATTGCGTGCTTAATATGTAAGGCCGATTGGCGTGAGAGAAGAATACGGAAACCTTTCTGTCAGAAAGAATTGAACCGAGAAAATGAAAGATTGATGTCTGCATGTCGTCAGTGACAAACAGAAAACAGGTTGAAGAGGAGAAAAAACAATAATAATAAATTAGAGCACGAGAGAAATGGCAATAATGTTTGGCAAATTTTCGGATGATATGGTGGTGCAAATGATGTCAAGATTGCCTCCCAAGTCTTTGATGCGATTTAGATGCTTGAATAAGTCTTGGAACAATCTAATGAGCAGCCCTAGCTTGGTGGCCAAGCATCTTTCCAATTCCAAGCTCAATGCCCTCCTCCACCGCTTGCATTATTTTGTAGCGTCTTGTTATCCTTGAGGATGAAAACAACACGGGTGATGAGTTCCAATATGACAGAACGGTCCCGTTACTCTCAACAATAATTAATACTTGCAACGACAATACTAATGCCGATAACCTTGTTCATCATTCTGTTGTCTAGGACATTCATGTTCCACTTCCGATGAGTGTAGAACATCATATGCTAGAACTGTAGGCCACTGCGACGGCATCATTTGTCTTCGACATCAGATTGACGTGGACCAGGTTTTTTTTGTGCAATCCAGCAACCAGGGAATTCCGAATTCTTCCAAAGCCTTATATTCCGCCGCTTCCTTATGTTCCAGAAACACCAGAAAACCTTGCCTCGGTATTGCCAAAAACATCAGAAATCCTTGGTGCGGGATTTGGTTATGATGACAAAGCAAAAGTGCACAAGGTTGTTAGAGTTAAATAATTGTCTTGGCCGTGCCGGATCTCAATCTGATTTATTCAAGAACAGAGGTTTACACCTTGGATGCTGATTCTTGGAGAGAGATCGAGTGTGATACACAAGAAGCTCATATTCTCCCACATGTTTTGTAGACGTACTTGAACGGAATTTTTTATTGGTACGGGAGTGACACAAGAACTAGTCTGGAAGTCATCATTTCATTTGATATGGCAGACGAGAATTTTCATAAAATACCAGTACCAGATAGTTTCAATGATCTAGAGAGACAACAAGCTTGAAGGGATATAGTTAGTTAACTCTAGCTAGCTATATTGATATTTTTCCAAAAAGGTTGATGACATTTCATTGAAATTGTATGTCTTCTTAATTATTCCGAGTAGTAAATCCATTGCGAACTTTAAGTTATTTCATCTCCCATGTTGTGTTTTGTTCTATTTTTTCTTACTTGTATAATCGACTTACAAAAGAAAGTTTTCTATGTGAAAGATATAGCGGTCGCGGGTACGAATTCTAGCTCTTCATTTTAGTGCTGCTTCATACCTGTTAAGTTGTTCAAGTTTTATCATGCTTTGTGTTAATAGTAAAATCTCTACACCGTTAAAACGATTAAACTAGAAAACTATTAAAAGAAAGTCACATCTATCTTCACAAATAACGCATGCATCATCACCCATCTCTTTCTGGTCAGCAAATCTTCCTGAATTTATACTTAGTATAATTAGTATTAATTTACTCTTTGTGTGAATCTATACAGACGTACATATGAATGAGATTATCTTAGAAGAAAAAAAACCAAGTGGATCAAAGCAAGTGACAGAGTTTTGCAAGATGTCGGAAGAGATGTTGTGGCATATCCTACAAAGATTGCCTTCCAAATCTCTAATGCGATTCAAGTGTGTTCATAAATCGTGGTATTCTTTGATCAACAATCCCTTTTTCGTGGAAAGTCACCTCTCGAATTTGATGCACCACAATCTGTCCACTTGCTTCCTTTTCAAACGTTTTTTTTTCCAGAGCAACCCTAACACTGGTGAAAGGAACTTAGATTCTCGTTTCTCGATCTTTGGAATGATTATGTTGATGCTCATGAACATAACGTCAATTCTGTTGTTGAGGATATCAAATTTCTAGGTCTCGAGGTTATAGAATATCCAGATATTATAGGCCATTGTCATGGGATGATTTGTCTAAGTGATTGTAAAGGGAACCTTGTTTTGTGCTATGGGGTTCGGATATGATCACAAATCTAAAGATTACAAAATTCCAAGAATTGTACCTTATGGTAGGGAAATTTATGGTGAGGAGGATCTGGTTATGTTTCCTCCTAGAGTTGAAATATACACCCTAAAGTACTGATTCTTGGCGAGAGATCACGAATAATTATTTAGAAACAGAAGCTACTTTGGCCTGATTATTTCCAGATGTACTTCCATGTATGACATTGATAGCTATAGTGGAGTAAGAAGTGAGAAGAACACTGAATTACTCCATGGATGGGTAGTAGGTTTTTTCTGCATTAGTACTGCAGCATAGATAGTGAACCGCAACATTTTAGTTGTAGGAGAACATCGTGTTGATGTGTAAATTGGTTTACTGATTTACTGTTACTGTTTTACTGCTTACAGCTGGAATGTCTAAGTAACAGCTTAGATGTATTTTCTGCTAGGAGAATTTTGTGTGGCTCAAATGCCTATAGGAAATTGCCAAGTGTCATACACACATTGGTGGTTCAATTTTGTACCTTTGCTGATGTAAATCGTTTGATAAAAAGAAGAGAAATATAGCTGAGCTTTTTAGCACAGCAGCTAATACGTTTTTCTGCAGAAACATATATTCTTCCAGCTCCTTCTCTCATCTCCTTCCCTTTTTCTCCCTAAAATCCAAATCAGTACCTAATACTTTAACATGGTATCAGAGAGCCAGGTTCGTTCTTGAATCTGGGTGTCGATTCCGCTGCGGGTATTTGAAGATTTCAACGCAAAATCTTCATATCCTAAATCGATTCAGTCTCACATGGCTGGTTCGGTTGGAAGGGAGTCACGAACTCCAATATTCAATGGAGAAAACTACGAGCTTTGGAGGATTCGTATGAAGACGATTCTCAGATCGTACGGAATCTGGGAATTGGTTGAAGAAGGTGTACCAATTCCAGATCCAAAAGGCAAGAAGAAGGAGACGGAGACATCAGACAAGTCGTTGTTGTCTGAGCTCTTGAAGCAAGATGCAAAGGCACTGGATCTCATCCAAGGAGCTGTTTCAGATGAGCTCTTCCCCAGAATTTCAAATGAGGTGACTGCAAAAGGAGCTTGGGATCTGTTACAGCAAGAATACAGAGGAGATGAGCGTGTTAGGTCAGTCAAACTACAAGGTTTGAGAAGAGATTTTGAGTATACTCGTATGCGTGAAGATGAATCTCTATCTGCTTATTTGACTAGACTATTTGAATTGATAAATGAAATGAAGAGCATGGGTGCCCAAATTAAAAACTCTGAAGGAGAGTTATCTAAGAGTAGAATTGTGCAAAAATTGTTGATAAGTCTTACTAAGACTTATGACCCTGTTTGCACGGTCATTGAACAGACCAAGGATTTGGATACAATAGAAGTGCAGGAGGTTGTGGCCACCCTGAAGGTGTTCGAGCAAAGGCTTGAGAGACACTCTGAAAATATTGTTGAGAAGGCATTTGCTAGTATGAGTATGAAGGGAGCCAACTCCTCATCTTCTGCAGGCAGTGGTCAATCCAAGAAGAATTGGAAGAATAAAGGAAAGAAGTGGGAAGATAAACCCAATTCGGGTGGGAAGAATGAAAACTGGAGGGGTGATCAATCTAACAAGAATGATCAGAACAAAGGAACTTGCAAACACTGTAACAAGTTGCATTATGGTGAATGTTGGTTCAAAGATAAAGTTAAGTGTCATCGATGCAGCAAATTTGGTCACATTGCTAGGAATTGCTCTAGCAATATACAGAACAAGGCTGGACCAGTTGCTCATTTTGCAGAGAATCAAACATCGGAGACAACCAACATGTTCTATGCCTCTCATTCGCTGTCAAAGCCAACTGACTTTGGTGCTTGGTATATTGATAGTGGGTGCAGTAACCATATGACAGCTCACGAGTCACTACTCTCTAACATTGATAGGAGCTTGAAGTGCAAGGTGAAGATGGGAACAGGGGAATTGGTTCAAGCTTCTGGAAAAGGGACCCTTGTAATTGAGCTGAAGGATGGTCCCAGATACATACAAGAAGTGATGATTGTACCGGGCTTAGATGAAAATCTTCTAAGTGTTGGACAAATGATTGAGCATGGCTATTGGCTAGTATTTGGTGATTCCATGGTGAACATATATGCTGATAAGGAAATGAAAGAGCTGGTGGCTAATGTTCCAATGAAAGGGAATAGATGCTTCCCTATGAAGTTTGAATTCATGAACCCCGTGATGGCAAATAAAGCAGAAGTTGAGGATCACTCATGGAAATGGCATAGAAGATTTGGTCACTTGAACTATGTTAGTCTGAAGATGCTACAAGATAAAGAAATGGTGGTTGGACTCCCTAAGTTGGAAAGTTTTAGAGATGTGTGTGAGGGTTGTGCTACGGGCAAGGCTCACAGAGAAGCATTTGACAGAACTGAAGTGTGGAGAGCTTCACAACCATTGGAGTTAGTACACTCAGATGTGTGTGGCCCGATGCAGGTCACTACAATTGGAGGAAACAGATATTTCCTCACTTTCATTGATGATCATACAAGGATGTGTTGGGTGTTCTTTTTGCAACACAAATCAAGTGTTTTCTCAGTGTTCAAAAGATTTAAAGCCATGGTGGAGTTGCAAAGTGGATTTCAGATCAAGAAGCTAAGGTCAGATAGAGGTGGTGAATACACTTCAACAGAATTCAGCAAGTTTTGTGAAGACTTGGGGCTTGAAAGGCAATTAACAGTGGCCTATTCTCCTCAACAAAATGGAGTTGCAGAGAGGAAGAATAGAACCATTGTGGAGATGGCTAGAACAATGCTTCATGAAAAGAGAATGCCTACCAAGTTCTGGGGAGAAGCAGTTAACACTACAGTCTACATTCTCAATAGGTGTCCTACAAGTGCTCTTAAGAACAAGACCCCGTTTGAAGCATTCAGTGGAAGAAAACCTGGAGTAAAGCATATGAGAGTGTTTGGTTCTCTCTGCTATACTCATATTCCATCTCAGCAGAGGCATAAGTTGGAAGAAACTGGTGAGAAAGGAGTCTTTGTTGGATATGGAACCTGTGAGAAAGGGTACAGGGTGTTTAACTTGAGAACTCAGAAAGTAATTGTGTCAAGAAGTGTGATATTTGATGAGAAATCTCTATGGAATTGGGAAACAAATGAAGATGTGCACATGTCAATTTCTTGGAACAATAGTGAGGAAACAGGGATGACTGAAGGTGAGATGGAGTTTGAGTCTCCTAATCAAACTCTATCTTCTCCATATGCCCGATCTCCATCAAATGATGCCTCACCAAGTACCCGATCTACATCAAATGAAGCTGAAACTTCTGAACTTTATGATCACACACCTGTGAAGTGGAAGAGTCTAAATGACATCTTTGCACAATGCAAAGTAAGCATTGTGGAACCTGAAAACTTTGCTGAAGCAACTCAAGATGAGGCTTGGAATCAAGCTATGAGAGAAGAGATCACAATGATCGAGAAAAATTCTACATGGGAGATGATTAACAGACCTGGTAACAAACCAGTTGTGGGTGTGAGATGGATCTTCAAGACAAAGCTGAATCTTGATGGTTCTATCCAAAAGCACAAGGCACGGCTTGTAGCTAAGGGATACACACAGAAGCCAGGAGTAGATTTCAACGAAACTTTTGCTCCAGTGGCAAGATTGGATACAATTAGAACTCTAATTGCTCTGGCTGCTCAAAGGAATTGGAAACTTTTCCAATTGGATGTGAAATCAGCATTTCTAAATGGAGTGTTGAAGGAGGAAGTTTACATCGAGCAACCTGAAGGTTTTGAAGTTAAGGGAGAAGAAGACAAGGTTTATAAGTTAAAGAAGGCCCTTTATGGCTTGAAGCAGGCACCAAGGGCCTGGTATGGTGAAATTGATACTCATCTACTCAAGTGTGGATTTCAGAGGAGTATAAGCGAAGCTACTCTGTATGTGAAGATCAAAGAAGGTATGGGTACAGTTATTGTGTCAATATATGTAGATGATATTGTTTACACTGGAAGTTGCAATGAGATGTTGAAAGAGTTCAAGGAGGATATGATGAACAAGTATGAGATGACTGATCTTGGCTTGTTGCATCACTTCCTTGGAATGGGAGTAATCCAGAAAGAAGGGAGAATCTTCATTCATCAACAGAAGTATGCCAAGACTCTACTTAACAGATTTGGTTTAAAGGACTGCAAACCAGTGAGCACACCACTAGTTCCAACAGAGAAACTCAAAAGAGAAGATGAAAGTGAGCTTGCAGATGAGGAGACCTATAGGAAAATTGTGGGGAGTTTGCTGTATCTTACAGCAACTAGGCCTGACATCATGTATTCAGCTAGTTTGCTTGCCCGTTTTATGCATGGTCCCTCAAAGAAGCACTTTGGCGCTGCAAGAAGAGTATTGAGGTATGTACAAGGAACTCTGGATTTTGGCATTGAATATGTGTCTGGAAAATCTGCTGTCTTAATTGGTTTTTGCGATAGTGATTGGAGTGGTTCAGAGGAGGATATGAAAAGCACATCTGGGTATGCTTTTTCATTTGGCAGTGGTGCATTTTCTTGGGCCTCAGTGAAGCAAAACAGTGTTGCTTTATCAACTGCAGAGGCTGAATATGTCAGTGCTGCAGAAGCAACAACTCAAGCAATTTGGCTAAGATTTGTGCTAGGAGATTTTGGAGAAGAACAACTTGAAGCTACACCAATCATGTGTGACAACACATCAGCTATAGCTATGTCTAAGAATCCAGTGTTCCATCAAAGGTCAAAGCACATAGGAAGAAAGTTCCATTTCATCAGAGATGCAATTCAAGAAGGAGTGGTGGATCTAATCTATTGCAAAGGTCAAGATCAAGTTGCAGACATCTTCACGAAGGCATTACCAAAGGAAAGGTTCTGCATTCTAAGAGAGCTACTCGGAGTGAAATCAGCAAACCATTTAGAAGGGAGTGTTGATGTGTAAATTGGTTTACTGATTTACTGTTACTGTTTTACTGCTTACAGCTGGAATGTCTAAGTAACAGCTTAGATGTATTTTCTGCTAGGAGAATTTTGTGTGGCTCAAATGCCTATAGGAAATTGCCAAGTGTCATACACACATTGGTGGTTCAATTTTGTACCTTTGCTGATGTAAATCGTTTGATAAAAAGAAGAGAAATATAGCTGAGCTTTTTAGCACAGCAGCTAATACGTTTTTCTGCAGAAACATATATTCTTCCAGCTCCTTCTCTCATCTCCTTCCCTTTTTCTCCCTAAAATCCAAATCAGTACCTAATACTTTAACAATTTTTGTATGTTCAATAGGACGAGTACCAGAACATACAAAAATTAGTCGTCAATACGATGAGTACTTGTAGCCTGAATCTTTCAATTTTGTATGTTAATTATTACCTCAGAGTTAGCGGGTGTTTCTGGGGATGGCTGCATATTCTTGAGACATGTCATGTGTCCATGGACTTTAAAGCCTTAACCGCAATGGGAGCATCAGGAAGTCATTTCTAGAGCTCTAACATTCCACGTGGCCATTGACTTTGGCAGTTTGACATCTTAGCCTGAATATCATAAAAGAAATCACTACTATATAACCCTAATATTAGAATGATTTCCACCACAAAAGCTAATTTTTAATCGGTTTGAAAACTCTACACCAACCTTTTCTTATATAGCAATTATACAACCAACTTTAAAGTTGTTGTGTTTTCAAGTTGACAGGGCACGTTGAAGACGATCACAGATGCTCAAAACTCTTAGACATGTCATGTGATTGATACTCCTAAAAATAGATATGCTCATAAACATAAGAAAAAGTCAAATATCTTAAGGGGGAAAAAAAGTTATCTGGTGGTGAAGAAATTATAACGAAAGTTAATAGTAAAAACTCTACATTAAACCAAGTAAAACAGAAGGGAAAACTATTAAAAGAAAGTCATTTCGACGTAACCATCTCTTTCTGGTCAGCAGATCATCAATATGGAAATCTTCCTGCCTCTCCCTTAATCAAGTTATGTCACTCATTTCGAGACGCAGAACTCAAACCCATATTAATTAGTTGTTAATCTCTAAGTACGTACCATCAAAACATATATTTCTATCCCTCGTCGTTCAATCATTAGGGTCTGAGTTTTGCAAGATGTGGGAAGAGATGGCGTTGCGCCGTATTCTACCAAGATTGCCTTCAAAATCTCTAATGCGATTCAAGTGTGTTCGTAAATCATGGTATACTTTGATCAACAATCCCACGTTCGTGGAAAATCATCTCTCTAATTCGATGCACAGCAAACTGTCTACCTGCGTCCTTTTCAGTCATTTTGTCCAGAGCAACACTAACAGTGATGAGAAGGAACTTGCATTCTCCTTCCTTTATCTCAGAAATGATTATGATGATGATAAGCATAACGTCAATTTTGTTGTTGAGGACATCAAGTTTCCACTTTCTTCGGGACGATGTATTGGGCTCGAGGATGTAGAATCTCCAAGTATTTTAGGCCATTGTAATGGGATAGTTTGTCTAAGTCCTTGTAGTGACAACCTTGTTTTATGCAATCCAGCAATCAAGGAAATCAAACTTCTACCCAAATCAGGCCTTCCAGATTGGTGGGGATGTGCTGTGGGGTTTGGATATGATCCCAAATCTAAAGATTACAAAGTTAGTAGAATTGCATCTTATCAGGCGGAAATTGATGGTCTAATCCCTCCTCCTAGAGTTGAAATATACACCGTCAGTACTGATTCTTGGCGAGAGATCAGGAATAATTCTTTAGAAACAGATACTACTTGCTTTTTTCCTGATTATTTCCAGATGTACTTCCAAGGAATTTGTTATTGGGTGGGGTATGAGCAACCAAAACAATCTGTGGAATACGAGGACGAGGAACAGAAGCCAATGGTCATTTTCTTCGACACGGGTGATGAAATATTTCATAATCTATTATTTCCGGACAGTTTTTATATGTATGAGGAAGGATCATCTTATGCTTATGAAATGTCTTATCTTATGTATTGTGATCTGCGCATTATACTGTGCAATGGATCTATTGCTCTTTTTGGGTTTAATCGTTTTAGTGTATTTCCTGACTCCTATGGAGTTTGGGTATTGGATGACTTTGACGGGGCTAAGGGTTCTTGGACAAAACACTTAACATTTGAGCCACTGATGGGCATGAAGAGGGTATTGGAATTTTGGAGGAGTGACGAGATTCTTATGGTTACCGAAGATGGAGATATAGTATCTTACAACCTTGCAACTGAGAAGCTTAAGAATCTTCCCATGAATAGCTTATCTGATTTCGAAACTATTGTGTATGTGAATAGCTTAGTTTCGATCACAAGAGGCAACAAGCTTGAGAGTGTTGATATATAATTCTAGCAATATAATTTCTCTATTTTTTTTTTCTCTTGTCCAAAAGCTTAATAAAAGATGTACCAATAAGGATGAAATTTTGTTGAAAGTACATTAGGGCCGTTTGGTATCCTACTTGGATTCAATTTTATAAACTCAAAAATAAATTTTAAATCCAAGGCTACAAAACCCAAACCCAAAATAAACTCAAAACACCCTCAATATTGAAAACAAAAAAAGTGAGGTTTTACAGTGCATTTGGATGAGGGAAATAAACTTGGGATTTTGACAAAAGTAAGAATTTCTAAATTGATATGATTACAAAGTTATTAGTAGAATTGCATCTTATCAGGCGGAAATTGATGGTCTTATTCCTCTTCCTAGAGTTGAAATATACAGCCTCAGTACTGATTCTTGGCGAGAGATCAAGAATAATTCTTTAGAAACAGATACTACTTGCTTTTTTCCTGATTATTTCCAGATGTACTTCCAAGGAATTTGTTATTGGGTATGAGCAACCAAAACAATCTGTGGAATACGAGGATGAGGAACAGAAGCCAATGGTCATTTTCTTCTACACGGGTGATGAAATATTTCATCTTATATTACTTCCTGATAGTTTTTATATGCATGAGGAGGGATCATCTTATGCATATGAAATGTGTTATATTATGTACACTGATCTGCGCGTTATACTGTGGAATGGATCTATTGCTCTTTTTGGGTTTAATCGTTTTTTGGTTGAATGTGTCTTCTTTATGCCTCTCTCTTCTTCGTGTGTGCCAGCATGTGAGAACCTTGGTTTGTTTATAACTTTATGTTTTCACATTTTTGTATCTACTTGCATATAATATGCAAACCATGTGGTCCTGGTTGGGTGGTCCTTGTGTTGTATGTTGTTATCTGATTTTGTCAGTGTATTAGTTAAATAGTCATGGTTTTTGCTCGATGTATTTAATTAGGTTATGCATTTGTGTATATTCAATTGAATAGCATAGGAAGTGCATTGAATAGTTATTAATGTGACATTTGCTGCACTATAATTGACAGATGAAGATGGTGATAATCTAGTCACATGTAGGATGTTCCAAGGAGGTAAGCTTGTGCAGAAAGGGTCAAGTGAAAGTCAATGGTCTTACTTGGGTGGTTATATAAATTGGTTTGTTTATTACGAGGCTGACTATATGTTAATGTTAGAGCTAGGGGGATAGCTAAGGATTTGGGGTATAAATATGGTATGGAATAGTATGGTATCGTTAAAGGGATTGGGAAAGCCGTTCACATAGGATGCGATGGTAGCCTCTTAGGGTATATGCGTCAATTCCTAAGAGCAATAAGAGGGTTATTGTGTTATATTTGAATCATGAGACTGAAACTTCAAATGAACTGACAGAAATGGACGAAAAATTGCAAGAGCATGATGATGTGCCTGTGCAAGAGCTTGGTGATGTGCTTGTGCAAGAGGAAGATAATGGCAATTCTAGTTCTGAGCATGAAGATCCTAATGATCCAGAATTTATGCAAAGTGATTATGCAGAGTCTGACGATGAGGAAGTTGTTTATACAAGGGATGATATGTGGTTTGATGGTTATGTTGATGTCGATTGCTACACCAATGGATTAAGGACTCAACTTGAGATTGATCTGAACCAGGTATTGATCGATAAAGGTCGATATTAGGCTTATTGGGAGATTGATGCATCCGGCTCACGCGAGGCATGATCTTGCCTATATCTTGAGTGTGTTCAGCAAGTACATGCATAATCCTAGCTTTGATACCAAGAAGAAGAGTACTATTTGGTTTAGTATTGTTGTGTGTTATTCATCACAAAGATGGATATATATACATGTATGGTTACAATCCTAATCTCACTATCATAAGGAGTAAGTACAAAATTATACTAGGAAACCTAATATTATAAGAAATTACCTCAAATATGATACAAGAGTCAACAAACGATACAGTACCATTTTATAATTTCTCGCTCAGGTGGGTTTGTGGGTCTGAAGGAATTGAGGGGGGTATGGGTTGGAGAAGTGAGCGGGTGTTGATGGGGATGGTTGCTTTTCCTCGAGACATCCCATCCCATGTGTCCTTAGACTTTGAAGTCTTAACCGCAATACCATCATTCCATGTGGCCATTGACTTTGGCAGTTTGACGTCTTAGCCTGAATAGCATAAAGGAACTATTACAACTCTATCACAAAAGGTAATTTTTGATCGGTATGAAAACTTTACTACTTCGTTCTAAAAGATCTAAAAGATAGGATGCTTCCAATCGGAACTTTTTGCTCACCATGCAATTGCTTTTAACCATTTGATTACAACGTTCTTATTACCATTTGATTACAAATTTCTTATTATTACATTCCTCTTTAGTTCAAATCTAGTGATACCTACTCTTTAAATTTATTTCCTTGAACTATCTAGATGACTAGCTCAAAAACATTTTATAGTGAATATAATTATGTCCCACTTAATTTAAGTATGTAATAAATTTGGATTTTCCCCTTTAATTAGCAACAAACTTTTGTTTAACAGCAATTATACACCCAACCATTAAAGGTTAAGTGTTGTCTTTTAGGAGGACCTTAAACTTATGACTGATTTGCATTTTGGTCATTATACTAAAAAAAATAGCTCCTATAGTCTCTTGACTTCACTTTCTCTTGTACCGTTGTTCCTACCATCATAATATGTTATATTTTCCATTAAATCCAAGGGCAAAACGATAACTTTGTGAAGTGGTTTCCTTGTGTTATTTCTTTAAATAAATCTTTTGAAGTACTTTTATAAAAAAACAAGGATTTAATGATTTTTTTTTTATACATGTATAATTGGTTCTTGTTTGTTTATACATGTATAATTGGTTCTTGAGAAACTTGTGGGGAAAGGTATAACCAAAGGTTTTTCCCTTTGCGCACAATTTATAAGTGAAAGATTAATTGCGATACTACACCCCATGCAATCTCCTATATAAACAGCAAACCAAGTGAATGTTAGCTCATAAAGCCTCTGATCCCATTCTGTTGTATTTCGTATTGCTTCAGTATTCTCAAAGTATGGCGATGTTGAAGTCGTCACCCGCTTTCCTTGTTCTTGCTTTTGCTTTCTTCTTGTGTTTCATTATGAGCAATGGTGGGGTTGCATTGCATTACAATCTTTTGCTCTTTATAATATGTGCATACAATTGATTCTAAAAAAATATGCATATAATTTGCATTGTATTTTTCTACTTCTATTTTATGTTTGGATAAATATTGTGTGTGTTCGATGATATATATATCATGTAACGGAGGATTTTGATCTAGCGCACAACCTTCTTTGACTGAGTAACTACTTGGGAATTACTTTTCTGCATGTGTTTTCTTTCGTTTACTCTAGTTGTTGTTGCAATAAGTGCAGCGGAAATTATGTTCTCTATACATCAAATCCTTATTTAAGATCTTTTAGATAATTTTGGCAGGATCTTATGTCTATTTTCAATAATTTTGGCAGGATCTTATGTCTATTTTCAATTTGTGCAACAATGGCCACCGACCAACTGCAGAGTTCGCATCAAGCGACCTTGCTCCAGTCCCCGGCCATTACAATATTTCACCATTCATGGCCTTTGGCCAAGTAATTATTCAAACCCGAGGATGCCCAGTAATTGCACTGGACCGCAATTTAAGCGAATATTGGTATGTATTGTTTCATTTTGTTTTCCACCTACCCTTTAGCTTTTAGTTTTTACCAAATTAGATTGTTAGTATGAACATATATAATATACTTTTTTTTTATAACATTCGTCATCTGGTTAGGCACACACATTATTTTGAATATATATCTAAGTACAAAATTGCTTGGATGTCTCAGTCCCCTCAACTGCGATCCAAACTGCAGACATCTTGGCCGGACGTGGAAAGTGGCAATGATACAAAGTTTTGGGAAAGCGAATGGAACAAACATGGTACATGTTCCAAAGAGACACTTAACCAAATGCAGTACTTCGAGCGATCCTACGCAATGTGGATGTCGTACAATATTACAGAGATCCTTAAAAACGCTTCAATCGTACCACATCCGACACAAACATGGAAGTACTCGGACATAGTTGCACCCATTAAAGCAGCAACTAAAAGAACACCCCTCCTCCGTTGCAAACAGGACAAGAATACTGTGTTGTTACATGAAGTGGTATTTTGTTATGAATATAATGCGTTAAAGCAGATTGACTGTAATCGAACATCCGGATGCCAAAATCAACCAGCCATCTCGTTTCAATAAAATTATAGCTAGCCTTTTTCAGTCATAATAAAGTATAGTATGGTTTGGTATGGTACTAGTGTAATCAAAATGAAGGATTGCGCTTAACAATTTGGAAAGCCCGCCTTTTTAGATCATTGGGTACAATAAAACGAGCTAAAATATCAGATTCGTATTTTATTAAGCATCCAGAGATATCCTATTAGAGAAATACATGCATACATACATATAGATATCCAAATCAACATGACCTTTTTTGAGAAGGACCATAATTTTTTTTTCCAAAATGTGGAAATTCCTTGTTGAATGATCAGAAACCATTTATTTTTCAAGTCTCATCCTCACAAAATAATTCGAAAGAAAAACAAACAAAAAAGTGACAAACGTTTTGTTCGTCACTTCAATATTTATTAAGTAAAGCCAAACTTTCTATGTAAGTAATTGCAAACAATAATTCGATTTCACCATATTTCATGACGGCCAACTCAATTCCTGTTTCAAAAACTTGCTTGGACTCGTAATTACACAAACACAGATCTCCTGCGCCCCTAAGGAAATCCCTTCTTACCATTAAGAGTTTATTATCTATAGTTATCCCGATTGTACCATAACTACCAGCAGGATAAATAAAAGGACACAATTGTTTCCATCGTTTTTCTTGCAGAACCCATAAGTCATTTGGTACCATGCCCTCTTCGTCACAAGAATAAAAGCTAAAAAGCAAGCAAACTCGTTCCTTGTAAATGTCAATACATAACTCAGATGGACTGCAAATGGCATCCGGTGCTATGAATTCTTCGAATTCATCACTGCCTGAATCGAATGACATAATGCTGCATATAGGACCTTTCTCAATGATATGGTATGCTACTCCATTAAAAAATGTACCCTTATGATGCTGCCAAGTGCATTTTAACCAAGGGGGAATTGCTTCAATCATCTTCCAAGAGTCTGTTTTGAGACTATAAACCTCAACTGCCAAGGCATTTTTGTTGGTACGCATCATCCTTACAGCCTTATAGTCGTTAACCCCAGGGTGGAACCCGAATTGGAGAGCAACATGGCTAAATTTAATGTTAATGTTGGTGCTCATTGGAGGAGTCCTAAATTTCTTAACCGAGGGGTTCCATATGTGTATTGGACTATCGAAATTCAATATCTCCTCCGAAATGCAAACTAAGCCATTGCTTGAGCCATATATCACATAATGTTTTGTGCTCCCTGAGGGATGGCTTAACTTGGAGCACTCCTCAAATGTTTCATTGGAAAAAAGAGACCATTGAAATTCTTGTTCAACATATGGGTCATCAGGGTCGTCGTTTCGTTCAAAATTTGGGTGGTGGAGGCATAGTAGATAGACATGGGTATGTTTTGTGGCATTCCTATGAAGGTGTGTGCTGATAAAACTGGAGCTGCCAATCAAATCAATCCATGACTTGCATGTACACAGAAACCGAACAAGGGATTTTGCAGGTAGTCTTACTAGGATGTCGATTAAGATATCTTTCTTACGTAGTGTGAATGTCATCCTGAAAATCATAATCAAAATAAGTTAGCATCCAAAATATTTCATACCAAAACAAGGAAAACAATGGTGCTTTTCATTTTTGCAGAAAGTCCAATGACTCACTTTTGAGGTTGGAAATAGACAAGGAAAGGAATGAAATTTCCAACAAAATAAAATGACTGTTCGTGCGCGTCAAACAATAACATATAGAGATGTGTCAAAGAGTCATGTGAAATTAGAATATTTATAACCTCCAAGAAACCCCCTCCCCTTCCTAACTTTGGCAACAACAAAAAAACTCCAAGAAACGGAAAACAAAAGGAAAACTGCATTTCAGGGCAGCTTCTCAGGAGTTATAAATGACAGAGATCCTGGTTGAACGTTATTGAATGGATGATATACAGTGACCAAGTAATTTGGCGTCCTAGAATAAAGCACCACCGCATGACAAGGAGAAAACAATGGTAAAAAATTTAAAGAAATCTGTAGTTTTCCTAAAAAAGAAAAAGAAAAAAACCAAAATATCATGATGCTAGGCATTTTATTTAATAATTATCAAGATACTAGTTTCAAATTCAATGAACATTTCTGCTAATACAAGAAATTATGTAAAGAAAAACTTTTTATTTTTTAAATGCCAAATAAACATGAAAGTTTAGAACGTAAAGCCCCTCATTGTACTGAAATTGAGGGGAAGCATCAAACAACATTCGTTGATGTAATTCCATAGAAAATTGATTGATCCAAACTTTCTCTATGTCTCTCTCTTAGTCAAGCTTTCTCTCTCATTCCCAAAGACAAAACTTAAACCCGTCCGTTATAAGCACCAAAATATGTCGAGCCCTTGTCGCTGAATCATTATCATCATATGAACTCAGCATTCTCGACCCTGAGCGACTCAGCCGAGCTCTTCTTAAGAGGTATCATTTTGGATAATCTGTATCTGTTTTTCTACCAATAGAAAATAGGTAAAAAGGAGTGGATCAAAACATCACGGACAAAGTTTTGCAAGATGTTGGAAGAGATTGTGTTGCGTATCTGACCAAGATTGCCTTCAAAATCTCTAATGCGATTCAAGTGTGTCCATAAATCGTGGTATGCTATGATCAACAGTCCCATGTTTGTGGAAAGTCACCTCTCTAATTCGATCGACAACAAACTCTCCACTTGCATCCTTTTCAATCGTTTTGTCCAGCGCGACACTAACACTGGTACAATGCAATGATTATAATGATGATGGTGAGCAAAACGTCAACTCACTACTACAAAAAACACTTTGCGCGACGAAATAAGTTTGTTGGGCAAAGTACAATTTCGTCGCGCAAACTTTGAGCGACGAAATATTGGTCGCGCAAGATCTGTTGCGCAATGCTCGTGAAGAAAGGGTTTGCACGACAAAAAGTATTCTTCGTCGCTCAGAGATACTTTGCGCGACGAACCTTAACTATTTTGCGCGACGAACTTTAATTACTTTGCGTGACGAATCTTAACTACTTTGTGCGACGAACCATCACTACTTTGCGCAGCGAAATTTAACTAATTTTTGAGTGAAACTTGTGCTTTTAATAAATTTTGTGTTTGTTTCAGTGTAATAAGCTTGAGACTCATAAAATGCATTTTGGAGACAAGTTAGCTCAAAACGGTGTCTGCAGATCAGTCAACTTCTCGAATTGGACTGTATTTGCTCAAGAAGAACCAGATGATGAGCCAAATATCATTGGAAAGATGCGGAAGTCTAGTTTCTGAAAAATTTTACGGTTCATGATTCCGAGTCTTCTAGAGAAAGTTATGCAAGTTTTGCAGCTTAAGGTCAAATTCGGCAGCATCTGCGTTACTGGACCAAAAATGACATTTGAAGGTCTTTCCGATTTTTTCTTGAGTTGGGCTGCATATGCTTGGAAAGATAAT